ACAGTGCCAACACCACCTCATCAAATAGGAGGCTCATTCCATGTTGGAATGAAGCTGGAGAAGCCTCACAGGACTGAGTCCCACCTGCTGCTGCCTCGCTCCCCTGCCCACAGCCCCACTCATTTTGGGGTATTCCCCCTAATCCCACCACCACCATCAGAATGAAATGTGATGGGAATGACCCCACACTGTGGACAAAAAGATAAGAGGAAACATGGTGGGAGTAACAGAAGCCAAAGAGCAACCTCCAACCGCTGGAATTAGGATCTCCACAAGAGCAGCACTTGGGACCTCCATCCTGCAGCTCCTCTGGAAAACACACAGCTCAGCCAACTTGTACCCTCTGATTCCTTTAATGTTTAATACACAAGCTCCCTCCTGACAAATGATGCATTTCCAAGGAGCAAATCAGAACTCCAAGCTCTGGAAGTCACCCGACAGCTGTGATCAAAGGGAAAGCAGATCCTTTCCTTTTATAGCATCCTGCGCTGAGCCCACACTTGAGCTGCGAACAAAACTGTTTAATCAAAGAGGACAAGCCTAACATGGGCTCAGCTGAGTTACACCAGATACAACAGACTCCAGGGAAAAAAAAAAAAAACCAGGACAAAAGGAGCCACACATGAAGCTGGTTCTCCCCTCGGTTCCCCCTTACCTGTGCGTGCTTGGCTCGAAGCTTGTTCAGGATGTTGGTGGCGTCAAATCCAGCGTTGTCGCAGAGCTGGCGGGGAATGATCTCCAGGGCTTTGGCATAAGCACCTATCAGTAGCTGCTGCTTGCCTGGAATGGTCCTGGAATAGTCCCGGAGGTACTTGGAAAGCTCCATCTCTATGGCACCACCACCAGCAACAACCGAGTCATTCTGGAAGGAAACAGGAAACACTCTCATTCCAAGGGGAGAGCAGGAAAGGGTCCATGTGGGGCCATGCAGACCCACAAGCCCCATAGCCCAGGCTGCTGCTATCCCTGGGATTGCATGACAGCACTGCTGGGAGCTTCAGGAACAAGCCAAGAACCTCCAGTGGCAGCTACCAGCAGCTCATCCCAGCTGTACATGGGATTAAGGGGATTTGGAGAAGGATGGCAGCCCATAGTCCCCTCCAGCTGGGAAAACTTCCCTCACTTCCATAAAGCAGTCAAAATTAAAGATATTGACAGCAGCACTTCCAGATGAGTTCTGCTGAGTTTTTTTCAGGAGGGAGATCAGAATGTTCTTTCTAAAAGCAACAGTTCCAAAATCCTGATGTGCTTCTTCCCAGCCCCTCAGGACACACAGCCTCGGAGATGTTTTTAACCAGAAACACCCACAGCTTGGCAGCATCGCACAGCACCAAGCACACACCCAGAGAGTCTTTGGACTTCTCCTGGTGCTTCCACCCTGCCTTCAGAGCCAGGGCACTGTCACCCCCTCAGACTGGTCACCAAGACAGGGAATGAGTGGCTCTGTGGACACACACATGACATAATCCTGCTGTTCAAATCTCCTGAAGATCCAACCAACACTCCTAGGAGATTGTGTTCCTTTAGGATGTATGATGGAGCAAACACAAGTTACAGCTGCACAGAAGAGAAGGCAATCACCACGAGTGCCTGGAAAGCAGTTGGCAATGCTGCCAAGACAACACCACATTGGCCAAGGAGCAGCACTTGAGTTAATCAATTGGATTCTACTCACTCCTGGTCTCTCCACAAAGATCTCAGCCAACCTTTCTTTGGTGTGATAGGTTTCTAGAAGGAGTTACAGCTGTGCCAGGTCTGATGGACAATCCCAGTACCAATGCAGTAGCTCTACTGGTCCTTACCTTGATTGCTCTCCTGACTATCATGATAGCATCATGCAGGGACCGTTCTGTCTCTTCCATGAACTGCTCTGCTCCACCTCTCAGGATTATTGTGCAAGTCTTGGCCTTGGGGCAGCCTGTGAAGAAGTTGTACCTGCCAAAGGCACAATTCAAGAAGGGTTATGGTGACGGAGAAGTGGTGCTGCTGCTGGACGGGATCCACTATTACTCAGTGTGGGAACAGAGTCCTTGACAGGCCAGATCCAAGCCTGAAGCCATGTCACCCTCAGTGCCCATCAGATCTTGAACTTAGAAGGAGCAGAGCCAGGGAACACACAAGTGAAATTCAAGGTGACCCAGGAAAATCCACTCTCTTCTCACTCACAGAATTAATCAGGTTGGAAAAGATCTAAGATTATCAAGTCCAACATAAGACTTAGTACCACCTTGTCCACTAGACCATGGCAATAAGTGCCACATCCAGGCCCTCCTTAAACATCTCCAGGGACGCTGAGTCCACCACCTCCATGGGCAGCATATTCCAGTATCTAATCACCTTTTCTGAGAAGAAATTCTTCCTATTGTCTAACCTAAACCTCCCCTGGTGCAGCTTGAGACTATGTCCTCTAGTCCTGTCACTTGTTCTCTGGGAGCAGACACCAACCCCCACCTGGCCCCAGCCTCCTGCCAGGGAGTTGCAGAGAGTGAAAAGGTCCCCCTTGAGCCTCTTCTTTTCCAGGCTGAGCTCCCCCAGCCTCTCCTCATAGGACTTATGTTCCAGACCCTTCACTACCTTCACTGCCCTAATCTGGACATGATCCAGCACCTCAATGTCCTTAAAAGGACCCTAAAGCCCTGTTGCCAGGGCTTTGTGCTAAACTGGTGCTCCAGTTTTCACTTGGCAAGAACACAGATGTCAGCACAAGCCCCAAAGAGGATTCCTCCTCCAGAACAGGAAGGATCCCAGGATACAGCCCCCAGTTTCATTTGTACTGACAGTAAAGTGTCACTGTGGGACATCAGACAAGTGCCACAATCAACCCCAGAAGATGCTGCTTCCATGAATGAAAAAATGCAACTGTGCTCTCTACAAGGCACTGGGGAACGAATATGCATTTTAAAAGCATATAAAAGGGGTAAGATTTAGATGAAATCTTGCTCCTGCCTCCTCCCTCAGCCTCAAAAAGCAGTTTCTGTATACAACAAAATACTTGTTTGTACCAACCTTGTTTTCATACCAACACCCTCAGAGATGCTCAAACCTGACGACACTTAAAGCCAAACTTTTCCAATTGCTATCAGACTGCTTGCACAGTACTACAGCTTTACAGGTGGAGTATTTACCTCTCTCCCCCAATCTGAGTCTCCTCAAAGAGCTCACAGCGGCCCAGAACATCGTCTGACAGGGCATTGACACTGGTCTGGATGGATCCACCGCAGGCCTGCAGGGAAAGGAGGTGAAACAGGGAATTACCAACACTGACAAACAAACAATTTGCCCAGCAGGCTCCCACTCCTCAGAGACATTCTAGTGGCTTAGCTGATGTCAAATCCATCCTGCAGCCCAGGTTCAGCAAAACCCTTCTACTTCCCTCCCATCTCATGGATCTAGGCAGGATATCAACATCAGAAACAATCCTCAACAGCAAAATAAGATTCTGCTGCTTCAAGTGCTGACTCACAGGCTTGGGAGTCCTGGAAATCCACAAAAAGCTCAGGAAAAAAACTCCTCATAATGGAACAGGCAAGAACCAGGGAAAATAAACCTCTACTGATGCATTGAACAGACCCTAATATGTAACACCACCAGAGAAACACAAAAGCAGTGTGGATGCAATTAGTGTGTGACTGTTCATTCCATCAAGGAACAGCCTTGTGTTTATCCATCTTTTGTAAAGAACAGTGTGTTCAGGCAACTGCTGCCCTGTTTTGGGAACGAGCAGCCTGGAATTGTTTAATCTAAATCCAAAGTCTTTACCCTGAGCCAAGGTAACTTACCATCATGGTTCGCTTGAGATCCTCCTCCGGGACACGGCCAGCACAGAACATGTCTCGATCAGCGAAGTACTGAGTAGCCACGTCACCGATGGGAAGTTTGGACAGCACAACCTTGGCTCCTGACTTGTGGATTTTGTCTAGTTTGTCATACAGGATGTTCCACTCAGCATCCACAATGGCCTGGTAGTCCTGGCAGGGAGGGGAGAGGGACAAGCACCTATGTTACAGACAGTTGTGAACACCACGACGTGCAGCCCTGACACACAGCTGCTTTCTAACACTCAGGTGATTCTGGGTCACTGTTTTATGCCACTGCCCAAATGGGGACTTCGCTTCAATCTGGAGGAGGCTCTTCCAGCATTCCAAGCACTGCTTAATAAGCTTTCCCTGGAAGGCCACTTGTTAGGCATAAGGAAGTCATCACACAACTGATGTCTGAGCACAGCACAGCTGGGGCACAGAAACATTCTCAAAACCTGCTGTGATTCCAACTCTGCCATATCCTTCTCCCAGATTAGGCAGCACAACCCACCAGGTATTTTCAAAGAGGAAGGATGGGCAGAAGGCAATCCTATTTATCACAGGATTGCTAATGGTTTGGGTGAGAAGGGACCTTTTCAACAGATACCTTGTCCAGGCCCCTGCCATGGGCAGGGACACCATCCACTAGCCCAGGTTGCTCCAAGCCCCATCCAACCTGGTCTTGAGCACTTCCAGGGACGGAGCAGCCACAGCTTCTCTGGGCAACCTGTGCCAGTGCCTCAGCACCCTCACAGGCAGGAATTCCTTCCCAATATCCCATCTAACCCTGCTCTCTGCAGTGGGAAGGCATTCCCCCTTGTCCTGTCCCTCCAGGCCCTTTGATCCAAAGTTCCTCTCCAGGCCTCTTGGAGCACCTTTAGGCACTGGAAGAGACTCCAAGATCTCCCTGAATGGAGCTTTCTCTTCTCCAGGCTGAACATCCCCAGCTCTTCCAGCCTGGCTCCACAGAAGAGATGCCCTAGCCTACAGAGCATCTTCACAGCCCTCTTAGCTTATTTTTATCCCACTGGATAAGCAGCCACCATGTCTCACAGGGATGAGGAAGCAGGACAGACTTCTGTTTGGCACTTACCTCCACAGTGTTGACTCTGACTTCAGCATTGTCCTTCTCAGCTTTGAGCTCCAGCTCCACATTCAACAATGCAATTTTGGGAGACTGGTACTTCTTGGGCTGCATTTCAAACCCAGCATATGAGAACGTCTTCTTAAAGGCAACTCCAGCCACCAGCTGCGAGTCCTTGAACACAGGGATTTGTGTTAGCCTCCTCACGTTTTCTCCACAGGGTTAGTAACTCCCTCAGGAGACTCCCTGCTTTCAGAGGCCTCATTTACAAAGCCTTTCCCAACAGCTGTCTCCTTTGATTAACCCACTTTTGGAGGGAATAAGCAGCCAGTGTTTCTCTGTGCTCACAAAAGCAGTTTACAGCACTTCTTCTCTGCCCCTTGAGACAGCACAGCCAAAAATGCTACACAGAACCTGAAGATCAAGGGATGGAGCAACCTGTTCCCTCCCTGATGTCTTTCCCATTCCTACATCTGAATATGGAGTCTCCTCATCCACAGCCTCGCTTGAGGTTGGGGTGGTTTTTTCTCTTTTTTTTTTTCCCCGAGCTCCATCATCACCTCTGGGACTGTTTTGCAGCAGGACAGCCCTGTCCAACACTAACCCCTGAAGTGAACTCTTTGACTTCCTGGCTGGGAAAGAAATCAGGATCTAAATCTCCTATGCCACAGCTGTCACACAGCCTACGAAATATCCAGGTATGTTCCTGTACAGAAGAGGTATTCCAGCACTATAGCATAAACCACACATCTCACCTGCCCTGCCCACCACTAGAACAGCTCCTTCATGAGATTTTCCTTGCATTTTCCCAATCCAGTACTCCTACATACAAGCAGGACTTTTGGGTCCAGATGTAACAAAGACTTCCCACATTTAAAAAAACCCCAAAACATTTAACTATTTGCAGAGATATAACTCGAATTTGTATCAGGAATAACATTCCTGAGAGAGCAGTGAGGTAACAGTGTATTTAGCTCAAAAAAAACCAGATTCCCTACCTATAGAAAAGAAATCCTGCCCTATTCCCTAAGCTTTATTTCACTTTGGGAAATCCCAAACAGGCATTGCACTCCTGCTAGAGCCAACTCACCACCACAGCTGTGATCACTGTCTCCTAATTCCTCAGGACACACTCCAACAGAACTTACTTCCAAAGCTCCTCCTTGCACCTTCTTTATTCCAATCATTTTGAGCTGTAACAAGTCATCCAACATCATGACAGCATCTACAACCATCTTGGAGAAAAACTCCTTGCTCTGAGAGATCAGCTTAGAGCTCAGGGCTGTGGCTGCACACTTTTCCAGGAGGCTCCTCTGCTCACTGCAGGAAAGGGAAAATAAAAGCTTGTTCACATCCCTAATCTTTTCACAAGCTCAAAACACTGTGTGACTTCATTAATCAGGGAACTGTTCAGGGTGGAAAAGACCTCTGAGATCACTGGGTCCAGCATCGCCACGGTCACCCCTAACCATGTCCCCAGGTACCACATCTACATGGCTTTTAAAGCCCTTCAGGATGGTGACTCCATCCCTGCCCTGGGCATCCTGTGCCAGGGCTAGACAAACCTTTCGGGGAAGAAATTTTCCCTGATATCCAATCTAAACCTCCTCTGGCAGGTAATGTATGCAACAGAGTGAGTGAGACAAGGGACACCAGGGAAATAGGGATCCAACTGCCAGACCCTATGTTTCCAGTTCTTGGGACCATGGGAATTACTGTATGTCCCATCACAGGACAGCATTTGGTTTGGTTTTAGCAGCATTTGTTTTGGCTAAGTCACTCTGGTTTCTTAAGATGGTTATTCAATTGAAATACTTCAAATTACTACCAGTATTAGCAAGATCAAGCAGACAAGAGACTAAAATCCAGGGAGAATGAACTCCAGTACTCTTACCCCAGAAGGGATCACTTTCTTAGTGCTGTGAGCTATCTACCTCCATGCATGCAACAGCTAAAAGGGGATCTGACGCTCAGGGAAATGCTGAGCATTTAACATTGCTATGGACTGCAGCAAGAGCTTTGAGTCTCCACAGCTGTGAAAAAGAAATCAGGCCACTTATTTTGGTGCTCAGATTCCATGTGTGCTGAAAGACACTGTCCTAATTATTCCCTGCAGCCAAGTGAGAGCATGACATCACCTCCAGAGGAGAAGGAAATTCCAACAAAATTTGAGAATAACCCCAAAAAAACCCCAGTGTGTGGCTGCAGCTGCTCAGTTTGACCTCAGCCAGAGCCACAGCACAGGTCAGGAACACCCTAAGCACAGATTCCTGAATGCCAGGAATACAACCAGGTGACCTGGAAGGGAAACTTACTCTTTATCTTCCTTCTTCACGGAAACAGCGATGTCTTTGATCTTGTTCACAGCCTGTCAAAACACAAGGCAACAGCTGGATGAATGATTTATGCTCCTAAGCTGATCAGTCTCCAACTTCACTTTATATTCCATGTTACCTTTTACTCTCTGTTTCAACATCAATCAAGCTGTAAGGTATTCCACCCCTTCCAGCACAGTCATTTTGGGAAACGCATCAATGTAAAGGACTGAGATTGGACTTGATGATCTCAGAGGCCTTTTCAAACCTGATTTTGTGACTGGAAGAGGCTGCTCTGCTGCTTCCAGCAGAGCTCTGGGGAGCCACAGGGCTACTGAGGGAGTTAACCTCCAAAAACTCAGCTTAATGGGATCAATAGCATTCACAACACATAAGGTTTACTAAGGAGTAGTAGAGATCAGGAGAAAGGGAAATGAGTTTTCCCATTCATACATTCTTCCTTGGAAAACAACACAAATGAAGCAACAGGACTCCAGAGGTACTAGCTGGTAACAACTGGGCACTGACAGCAGAAAAGCAGCTGATGCCTGCAGTAAGGCATCAGGAGATTCCTCCTGTCGCTCCCCATGCCCATTACTGTTTTCTCCCTGGAGTGTGTCATAGTCCCTCTGTGGCACGGAACTCCTCTCCCCAGAGGAGCCAATCCCCCCTCAGCTTCGAGCACAGTGCCTTACCAGCTGCGTGGCCGTGCGGAACGCACGGATGATGATCTGGGGATGGAGCCCTTCCTCCACGTAGGGCTTCACCTGCTTCAGGAATTCGGCAGCCAGCAGAGTTACGGATGTGGTCCCATCACCAACCTGCACAGAGAGGGAACACTGTCACCCACATGCTGTGACAGCAGCAAAACCATGGGAGGGCTTTCAGAGAAATCAGATTTCAGAATTTTCTCTCCTCACACTTGTTCCCTAGTGATTCATGGAATCCCAAAATGGTTTGGTTTGGAATGGACCTTGAAGATCACATTGTTCCACTCTCAGCCATGGGCAGGGACACCATCCAGTAGACCAAACCTCATCCAACCTGAACATTTCCAGGGATGGAGCAGCCACAGCTTCTCTGGGCAACCTGTGCCAGTGCCTCACCACCCTCACAGCCAAGAATTCTTCCCAATATCCCCTGTAACCCTGCCCTCTGCAGTGGGAAGCCATTCACCCTTGTCCTGTCACTCCATGCCCTTGTCCAAAGTTCCTCTCCAGCTCTCCAGGAACCCCTTTAGGCACTGGATGATGCTGGAAGTTCTCCCTGCAGCCTTCTCTTCTCCAGGCTGAACATCCCCAGCTCTCCCAGCCTGGCTCCATGGCAGAGGTTCTCCAGCCCTTGGAGCATCTCCATGGCCGCCTCTGGACTCTCTCCAGCAGCTCCACATCCTTCTGCTATTGGTGCCCTAGAGCTGAGATAGCACTGCAGGTGAGGTCTCACCTGAGCAGGGCAGAGGGGCAGAATCCTCCCTCACCTGCTGTGGGGTGAGCCCAGCACAGAGAGGGTTCTGGGTGCCAGTGCACATGACCAGGGCATGTCCAACCTCTCATCCACCAACACCCCAAGTTCTCCTCAGGGCTGCTCTCAATCTGTTCATTCCCAGCGTAGACTGATCCCAGGTGCTGCCCTAGCCCAGGTACAGCACCTGCACTTGGTCTAAGACTAACAAGGGCTCAGTTCAGACAGTTCCTGTGAGGGTGAAGCCTTGTTTCCCAGTCACATATATTCAGAAAACATGAATTTGGCATCTTTGAAGTTCCTCGACCACCCATCAGGTCTGGCTGAAACAGCATAAAACATTTGGAATTTATCACAGAGAAGTGATCAATAAACACTCCATGAGCAGTTTCCAACAGTTAACACAGAGGCAATGGAAGCACTGACACCACCAAGCTTGCTGCTGCCTGTTGCACTTCCCAGCACAGCCAGGATCTCCTCCCACCTCTGCATCCTGGGATTTGGCAATGTCCACCAACGTCTTCGCAGCCGGATGGACCACATCGAGGAGCTTCAGAATGGTGGCACCATCATTGGAGATAGTGGCTTTGCCTGGGATTGATGGAGAAAAGGAAGTCTAAGCCTGACTGCCAGAGTAAAGCCCTTGGCACTGTCTCAGGGGGTCTCAGCAGGTTCCTCTGCTTCATCTCAACAGTGTCTTTTCAGCTCATTTTGGGAGCAGATCCAGTGAAGTCAGTCTGAGTGCAGAACAACTCATACCAGCAAAGGTTGGAATTTATTTTCGTCTTACTTCCCAACAGCCTCCCCAGACAGATAGAAACATATTCTAGCCTGACACTCATCTGAAGAAAGAGACTAGAAATCATATTAGTGATTAGATAAATTTAGATCTAATTATCTTTTTTAACAACTTATTGCACTCCCTATTTGTAAAAACTATGTAAACATAATACTAAGAGTTTCCACCCCACCCTTCAGTAAAATAAAAACAGCAAACAATAATTAGTTTGGTGACTTCATACAGGTCTTGTCAGAGTGGGGACAAGCCTCATCCCTGAATCACACTCCAAAAAAAGATTAAAATTCAACTCAATAATGGGAACTGACTCCACACTCAGCAACAAGTGCTGAGAGACTCCACAGATGAGATTCATTTAAAAATACATAAATAGAGATGGCCACAAATACCCGAAGACCAGGGTCAAGACACTCCTTTCTGGTATGGGTTTTCCCACATCCAGTCCCACTAACCCTGGAACTACCCAATCTCACCCCAGGTGCCTCAGCTCAGGCCGGCAGGCAGCAAACTGGCACTTCTCAGGTTGGTCTGACAATTGTTCTTTATTCCACAGCAGAGTCCAAGGTTAAGATATTAAACTGACACTGAGACAGAAACTGAACCTCTGGTGTGGGTCAAGTTTAGTGTGGGGTGAGGAAACTGAAATCTACATATATGCAAATGTGGGGTTTAATTGATACAAAGATACAAGGAAATACAGACACTTTGAGTGTGGGACATTATTCCCAAATCCCTTTTCTCTGTGGCTGTGGAAGGGCAGAGCCCAGAGCTTACCCCTGTCATCCACGATGAGCTTGTCCATGCCACGAGGCCCCAGCGTAGTGCGCACGGCCTCTGCGATCACCTGGCAGGCATTGATGTTGCTGACGAGCTGGGGGATGCCCTGGGAGGTGTCTGTCCCCTCCTTC